AAGATAATACTAACATTTCCAAAATTTGATTTGTTAAATACCAAAAAATACGAAGCATGAAAACTATGACTGATCTAATCACATTGTCATTATGTTATTCTGTAATTGGAATTTCCAAAACAGATTCATTTTAAATTGAAATCACGATTTATCCTTGATGTGATTCTGTGACTTGAACTTCCAAAACAGATTAATCATGATTTATCCCCGATGTTTGGTTGTTGACTCAAGTAAAATTTGAAAATAGAAAATATAATGTGATAAACATCACTTATCTAGCATCAAAAAATAAATTATGTTTATAACACATAATACTACTACATTTTAATTAAATAAATGAACAGAAAGGTCAAAACCAGCGGTTGTCAGGCAAGATACGTCTACATTTTGAAAGAGATGGACAGGGAACAAGCTAAAAAAAAAAGAAGAGACTTTTAGTACAATCAGTGGCCATAATCCAGAAAGTTATGGTCTGAAATGCGCAAATATCAAAAGGGACTGAGATTTTGGGAATATAAAGATATTTTAAGTTTCATCAAAATTGGATAAAAATTATGACCTCTAGAGGGTAAATAACCTTTGTATTACATACTTATACACAATTTGCAAACAAAGAGCAGCCATTTTGTCGGGAAGTATCATTTCGATTTTTCCGAAATTCCAATTCAACCTTCATTGTGGTGGAATGGTGATATATCTAAACGGTTTTTAAAATCTGAAAAAAAATTGTGACCTCTAGAGAATCCACAAACTAAATAGGCGATTTTTCGACCAATCAGGGGCCATATCACAGAAAGTTATCAAAAGGAACCAAGATCTTTATGATAAAAACATATATTCAAAGTTTCATCCAAATCGGATAAAAACTGTGACCTCTAGAGGGTCCATAACCTAGATATACCATATTTTAACACTATATGCGTACAAGGCCATTATGTCTTTCAGTTTTTGTGCGTTTTTTACAAAATTCAAAATCAACCATCAACGTTTTTTTTTAAATCAGATAAAAATTGTGACCTCTATAAGGCCCACAAGCTCAAAAAGCGACTTTTCGTACAATCAAGGGCCATAATTCTGGAAGTTACGATCTAATATGGTCATAATCCAGGATGTTACGGTCCGATATGCAAAAATATCAAGGGGAACCGAGATCTGTTAGATATAAACATAAAAACTGTGACTTCTAGAGGATCCACAACCTTGGTACCGGTACTACATACTTTTACCCTGTTTGCGTACAAGTAGCAGCCATTTCGTTTCGGTCAGATTCCCATAGATTAAAACTCAACCATCAGTAGTAATATAGTATGTGACAGATATATTTAAACAGTTTTTTAAATCAGATAAAAATTGTGAACTATAGAGGTTAAAGAATCTAAAAGATAGGTGGCCAGGCAACAAAACATACGCCCACAGCAGCCAAATCGTCCGAGCAGTCAACAAGAGTTGACTTTTACTTTTGTCGGTAATGAAACATTTATAATACTGTTACACTCAAATCTGATTAAGAGTAAATACTCATTAAGTAATTATTAGAAAATCATCAGAATTTGTTTGGCCCATGATAACATTTAATATTATGGATTTAGCTGTTCAAGTTATCAAAAATCATTGAAAATCAATATACTTGTTCATCTCAAGATCTTAAACTCTGTGTATCAATCTAAAGTCAATCAAATCGATTATACTGTATAGGCGTAAACACGGTGTATAAATATACAAGTGCATCGCTAACGCTGCAATATACGTCCACATTCCTGCTTTGATTGATATGGTACATTTTAAAATAAACAGAATGAAATATGAAATGGCTGTAATATGACAAAAGGCAAAGAAGGCTAGGCGTTAGGTTTGTTTTGCCAAATTTACAGACCAAATATTAACAAAAAAGTGGGTGTAACACTGCCTTAGGGGGTCGGGGCATGCACCAAAATAAGAAATAAATATGCAAAGTTCCAAGATGATCCATCCAGAATTGCAGCCTGTGGACGATAAATAAAAAAATGGGTGTGGCTCTGCCCCTGGGGGATGGATATGGAACAATATAAATACTGTAGGTACCACCCTGTTATTGAAATGATTGATATGCTGAATTTGAACAAAATCTTTTCATTATTGCAACCTGTAGAGTATTTACCGATAAAAACTAACAAAAAAGTGGGTGTGGTACCACACCCCTGGGGGTCGGGACATGCACCAAAATAAATAGTTGCTATCCTTACAATATAAGGAATAAATATGTCAAGTTCCAAGATGATTCATTTAAAATTCCAGTCTGTAGATAAAAACAAAAAAATTGGGCGTGGCTCTGCCCCTAGGGGTTGAACATGGACCAATATATATAGGTACAACCCTATGCTGGATCATTCCGAATTGGATCCAAATCTTTTAATAATTTCAACCTGTACATCATCTAAAGACAAAATATCAACAAAAAGTGGGTGTGGCACCACCGAAAGGGCAGGGGGTGGGGTTGAGGAGGGGGTCGTGCACCAACATCAATAGTTGCCGTCCTTAGGGTATAAGGAATAAGTATACCAAGTTCCAAGATAATCCCTTCAGAATTGTGGCCTTTGGGCGCTAAAGGCAAAAATTGGGCATGGCTCTGCCTCTGGGGGGCGGGGGATTCACCAAAATAAATAGTTGACGCCCTTAGGCTATAAGGAATACATATGCCAAGTACCAAGTTCATCCATTCAGAATTGCGGCCTGTAAACGATAAACACAAAAATTGGGCGTGGCTATGCCCCTGGGGGTCGGAACATGCTGTTGTCGACCTTAAGAATCGTGGCCTGTAGGCAACACACAGAGACACAAATAAAAAATGAGTGTAATCACCAAAAAACAATAGGGGTAATCCTTAGGGTATAAGGAATAGGTATGCAAAGTTTCAAAAGGATCTGTTAAGAATTGTGGCCTGTAGGCGAAACACAAAACACACAAACATTGGGCGTAGCTCTATCCCAGGGGTTCGGGAATGCACCAAAAATAACAGAGGTCAGTCTTAGGGTATAAGGAATAAGTATAGAAAAGTTTTCAAGACGATTAAGCATTGCAGACTGTAAGTGATAAACAGACACACAAAATGAAAATGGGCGTGGCTCTGCCCATGGGGATTGGGCATTCACCACAAACAATAGGGATGTTCCTTAGGATAGAAGGAATAAGTATGCAAAGTTTCATGGGGATAGGTTAAGAAATGCAGTCTGTAGATGACAAACAAATAAATACAAGAAATGGGCGTGGCTCTGCCACTGGGGTCGGACATGCACCAAAAACAATAGGGATCATCCTTAGGGTATAGAGAGAGAGAGAAATGGGGTTTAACGTCCACTCGACACAAACTAGGTCATTTCGGGACTAACATATGGTTTTTAAATTTTATTTCAATAATTCGCTTGCGAGTAGGGTTCTTTAGCATTGGGAGGAAACCGGAGGACCTGGAGAAAACCCACGAGGTTGGACAGGCGACCCTACTTCTTGTCACGTACAACCGGGGATTCAAAACCACACCAGTCGACTCAATGACAGACTTTATGATACAGCGCGCGCACGCTAACCATTCAGCCATCCAAACCCCCCCCCCCTTTAGGGTATAAGGAATAAGTATGTTGGACAGACGACCCTACTTCTTGTCACGTACAACCGGGGATTCGAAACCACGCTAGTCGACTCAATGGCAGACTTTATGATACAGCGCGCGCACGCTAACCATTCAGCCATCCAACCCCCCCCCCCCTTAGGGTATAAGGAATAAGTATGTTGGACAGGCGACCCTACTTCTTGTCACGTACAACCGGGGATTCGAAACCACGCCAGTTGACTCAATGACAGACTTTATGATACAGCGCACGCACGCTAACCATTCAGCCATCCAACCCCCCGCCCCCTTAGGGTATAAGGAATAAGTATGTAAAGTTTCAAGATGATCACTTAAGAATCGTGGCCTGTAGGAGACGCACATACACACACACACACAGGGGCGACTGCAATATGCGGCAATGAATGTGGACGTATAAAAATCAATCAACTGATAACTTTGGTCTCGAAAGCGTTTACAAGATTTTTCAATGTGATCAAGGGTCATAACTCTGGCAGTAAGTATCGGAAATCATTGAAAATCAATAGGCTTCTTCATCTCATGACCTTAAAAACTGTGTATAAATTTAAAGTTAATCGGATATTAACTTTATTGACGAGCGACAATATATGACCATGTTTAATGTGGCCGTATAAAAACATGACTTTTCATACAATCAGGGACCATAATCCATGAAGTTATGGTCAAATACATGCTAATTGGAAAAGGAACTGAGATTATTCGGTGATACACCTATATTTCAAGTTTTGTTAAAATCGGATAAAAATTGTGACTTGTAGAGTGTCCACAAACAAAATGTAAACGGACCGACGGACAGGGGTGACAACAATATACGTCCACATGAAAATGTGTGCACATAAAACTTAACATGACCTAACAAACTCTAAAATAAACAATAAACAAGTAGAATTTAGCAATTTAGGTTACCACTATATCATGCTGTCCACAAAAACTCAGTTCTTAGAAATGCTTAATTCTACCATGCTGTATGACCTGGTCTTAGAATAGAGACCAAGCGAGATGTGCATAATTATCTCATATGTTTGTGAAAACACAAAGTGTTTAACAAAATACGACTACAACATTAGTATTGGGGGCAGGCTAATAGTATGGTATCCTCCTTGCACATATTTAGGGTGTGGTATTCAGTTATTAGTTTTATCAAGTATTTTTTGTTACTCGAAAAACCAACACCCTATATCTAAATTGACATATCCGTTTTTTACAGTACTAGAAGAGCACTGACTTTTAACATAGTAATTAACGGTACCTTAATACACACAGTTTTAGGCCATAATTATGTCATTTACACGTATCTTACTAATGTTGCTAGATTAATACTACGTATATCCACTCCAATGACATGAATGTTCATAAATAAATATAAAGTTATTCTTACCTTGAATACTCTGACGTCTTGTAGATTCTCTCAGGTCATAAAACTGGGCTGATGACCTCTGGGCATGAGCTTCTGAAGGACTCAACTGGGCAGACGGACTAAGATTTGGGCTTAGGTTTAACAATGGTGGACTGTGAGTGCTGATTAAATGGCTAGGTGATTCTAAGGAGTTACTTGGGGATCTGCCTGCCACATGCGTAGCTCCTTCTGGCATCAATGTGGCCGATTCTGAACTGAAGAGATTGCTGGCTGCGTGGCCAGACAAACAAGTGGGAGCTTTTGGTAATAAATGATGATAATGTACTATAGGTGCATCTCGCTGAGGTGAGGCCACTGGCATTCTACAAGCAAACTGTGAGAATCACCTAAAAAGAGAGGATTTAATCTTAATGCTAGCCCTTCACGTTAATCACTGCAATAGTTTATTCCTGATATTAGAAAGAACAGTTGTGTACAGGATCAATGGAAAATCCATACAACTACTGTATTGATTGAAGTTAACGTTAGTCTACAGTACAGCAGGGCATACAAAATCAGCTGATCGAATAATAGATACATTTTTACGTTACACAAACTAAAATTGTCATAAAAAAGGATTAATATTTCAAATTCATAGTCAAGGCTATCATGTAACACCATTTATATTTAAGTTACAGAGCAGTATCAGGAAATTACTAAGCATAATATCGCAGTTTGAATTCAGAAAGTGTAGTCCCAGATAAACCTTTAAGGATTTGCCGATTTGGATCGCCAAAAACCACCATAACTAGAGTTCCTCAGAATATCCCAAACCGATAGAGTCATGTGAACAGCTGTGGTGGCCCCCAAGAACCAGGAACTGGGGCAGTCAATATTTACATGTATCAAGTGCTATTTGGTTTAATAGGTAAATGTACATGTATATAAACCATGATAATATATCTTTTACTATCGTAATACACACTTTAAAGATGGGTTCCCAGAAAAGTATTTATCGGGTGGTTATTTCCAATAAAAGTATGGCAATTTTGGTATATATGGAAAGTAGAGATATCCAATCTTACTAGAAAAATACTGGATTCCCCGAAAAACACTCATGGAGCGTATACAGGACAAAAATGTAAGGGTTCCCCTAATCAACAGCCCGACGATTAAGAACTTCTGCACGCGTGATGTCAAAGGTCACAAGCGAACATTGAGCGCTTGATGGACAAGTTGATAAAGTTAATGAAGAGTTAAACGTACAATACTTTCTGAGATAAAAATGACGGAAAAAGACGTGGGTAGTGGATAATCCGAGAATTTAATTAGGATTCGATATTTGTAATAAATAGTAAGCGATTAAAGACAACACTGTCTTATGTATGCAATGAATTCTCCTCTGACTCCCAAGACGTGACGTAAACATGACCTGGTTTGATCGAATTTTAATAGCAGGGCATTCCTTCGCAATTACAATGTTTGAGAAGGATTTGAAGCATAATTATGACAAATTAATTAGTTTGAATATGTTTTTGGTCCATATATACCATTAAATCACTGAGTTTGTACGCGGGAACCCATCTTTAAGTTGCGTATTATAAAGCCATTTATCACTGTGTGATAATGTAAACGTTAACTTATTATATATATATACTATTACTAGCTGCACAACACTTAAGCTTATACACTTTATTTTATTGCTTTAAAACTCATAACTCATGGTACTGTGCATATTTGCCGTTTTGTTTCGCAGTTTAGCTATACAGTAGAAATACAATCATAGAAACTTGTTAAATGGCACATACAGTACATGTATAGAAAAGTGGTCTCTTTGGAAAAGGAATTGTTGGATGGGAAGATGACATACATACAATTTATTAAAGATCCATTTTGTAAATTAAGAGCAATTGGGATTTGGAAACCAGTTGTATGGAAGAAGACAGCTGGAAAGCCTTATGCAGAACATTTAGTGTAATTCAATTAAGTATAATTATTCAGAATCAAATGGTGACATAATTCATCTAATCTACTTTTTTTTATCCAAGATTTAAATCCAGAAAAATAAAGTGAAAAAGTTTTGATTTCTTTAAATGATACCAATGCAATGGTAAAGTTATTGAAAACTTGGCAAACTTCCAGGAAAACAAATAAAAAAAAAGAATGAAACTCTTGAGCAGTATTTATTTGAGTTGGTATGATATAGGCTACTATTATGTTGGGGAAAAAGGATTCTAAAAAAAAAAAAAAAAATTATAAAGTCTCATTAACCTGTGTTGCTTGGCGAACACAAAATCAAAATTATAACTTATAACATCACGTGTATATTAACCCCATGCAATCATTCATACACAGCTATATCAATGTTTATTCTGACATTTTTCATCCACCAATACCATGCATTTTATTTTCAAAGAAATATAATAATTTGGTAGTATCCTACACGGTGTCACTTGTACTAATGCTCTGCTCTCTTTAAATTCGAACTGACAAATCAAAAGTAAAGCCATACTTGGTTCAACCTGAGCAACGCAAATAGCACGACTAGTTCAGCATGGACTCGGATGGCTTCCGAGAGGCCGGTAAAGTGGGTCGAGCTGAATCGCTGACCATAGTTCAGTCGATAAGCTCGCGCACACTACTCTTCTATCCACTGAAAATCACGACAGAAAACTGGTGTGTTTTCTTTACCATACTTACGTTTTTTCCTCAAAATTTACGATACAGTATTAAGTAAAATATATTCCTTTCTTCTTGGCCCTGTACACCTACCACTGTAGTCGATACTTCATGTTTCAGAATGATAATCAAATAAAGGATTCCCCGCCTACGAATGTGACGTCACATCCGAAGGAAATACCGCCTCCCTTTGACAGTGATGGTTGATAATCCAGGTCAAATATTCACAATTTTATTTTAAAATTCTGTTATATTAGAATTAACTTCCATCTATGAAATTCAACAGAAAATAGTTTATTGTATAAATTTAATGGCCAATGTTGATTGTGTTTTGAAAATGTCGGAATATGTCAAATAAATCAGGTAATCCTAAAATAAACATATGACGCGACTTGCTATAAATAATACAGAGTGCGTATTGGCTCGATATATCACGTGCTGAATTGAAGCGAAGCTATTGGTTAGCAGGTTGTTGACAGATGCAGGTTGAAGAAGGAGAATGAAATCCAAGCGGTAGACGTAGAAAATTTGCTGAGGCTGTAAGCCAGAAAAACTTTCTTAAAATTTGTTAATTTGTGGCTCTTTAAAACCACCATTTGGTACAGGATTCGAGGAGTCATATTTGATACTTAAATTTTATAAATAAGAAGTGAATTTTATGAATCTTTTATCGAGAAACCAAACACACCAGGAAGATTTTCAAGGACAAACGCCATATTGAAATTTGGGTAAACAAAGCTTTTTGAGTTGGATTCGACGAAGACGAATCCTAGATTTGGTTCCATCCAGTGTTGTTCTGAATTCAGAAGATAATTTATATTTAAGCATTTAAATGGTATTATCAAGATTGTCAAATATGCCAAGCTTGATGAAAGAACGAGGTAAACTAAGGGTAAATGTACGCAATAATTCAATGCCCCAGAAAGACAAACTGACTCGTTCTCAGGGAAAACAAGTTCCAAAAAGATATGCGGGATCAAAGGAAAATGATCGAAGGATAGCCAGGTCAACACAAAGCCATCCAAATGTACAAGTTTGTCTTCCAGAATGGATATGCAAAAATGACCAAGAGATATTTTGCAAGCCAGAAAAGAATCCATCTTTGACACTTTACAGTCCATCGACATCTCCCACCAAATTTATTGAGGCAGCATATGCTGGGGCTAAGTTTAATGATCCGCCCTCACCTAAGGTTTTACCGAAGCCGCCACAACATTGGATGAGCATTGAAAGTGTTGGACCTGCCCGATGTGACGATATGACAAGTCACCTCAAAATGTTATTGAAAGTTAGTGTTCAGGCATGATAATGAAGATGAACAAACTGTTTTGAAACATGGAAGTGTTTTTATTTAGGGCCAACTAGGTCTCAAGATCAAAAGTCATTCCAATGTTATTTTTGTAATTGACAGTATTGTGATGTTTTAGATGTGATATGGATTGTAAAATCCATCTATTTTCAGCCATGTCCATAATCAATCCATATTGATCATTTTACATCATATATTATGTTCATGTAGCCAATCTTATATCTTTCTCTTTTATTTTTTTCAATTTTGACCTTTTTCTCGAAAATTCTTTTAATAGAAATATGCTAAAAGTAAAAGACAACTAAGCTTTTTTAAGATAAAAAATTTCAAAACCTATGTCTTAGCATATGTTCCTATTTCTAAATGATTCATGTTATTACTTTATGTTGGTATAAGTGTACAAATATATATTTTTTAAATCATTGTATATTACATTGTCTAACATTATCATTATCATTTGAAAAGTGCACACACCAGGGTTTGAACATACGTGCTATTAATGTGTTCTTGCTCTAGGTCAATTGTATAGTTATTTATGAAATTTGTATATTTAGAATTTGTTGAGAATTGTGCTATGATTTCATCAATTAGCCTACTCTTTGCTATATTTAATTAATACAAAAGTGCCAGTTCTAGATTGTGATATTTGATTTTGTATTGTTTCTTTTTAATTTCTAATTTCTTGATTGAGAATTACTTCTCAGAATACAATGCCATAGAATTGACATATTTTATTGAAATTGATATTGCTGCAAGTCAGATCTGTCCAGATTCGTCCTTTTTATGAATTGTGGAGATTTCTAAATTCATTGAAAACATTTTATAAAAAAAAATAAGAAAAAGAAAAAAAAAAGATTTTAACCAATAATTCAAAAATGTGTGTTTGCAATCAACTTGAAAGACAAATATGTTTTTGAATTGCTTGGAAATATAGTGATATAGTTTATATTTATTATGTGAATTTATATAAATTGCAGATTTGCAAACTTTATGACTTGCAGCTTTATCCCCGGGTGTTACCAATTTGTTTATTCTTTTAAAAGTGATAGGCTACTTTTTTGCCATTGCTAATTTGTCATTAATGTCATGACATGAAAAAATACTAAATTTGTGTTGGCCATAATTTGGCTTGTTCCAATTGATACAGTCTTAATCTCGTTATTATTCTATTCTCAAACATCTTGGATAGAAATGTTATGAAATAAGAAAATGTCCTTGAGTAATTTATTTGTCTTTGGTTATTAAGCTATTGTTTTAAATTAATCATGTTAATTAATTGAATTATTACTAATTGTAAATTAAGAATTTGTTTAAGCTTTGGTAGTTTATGCACTTAATTGTTTATTTGTTATGCACTTTTAGTTTCTATTTGTGATTTGTTATGATTGTTCTACAATTTTGTGCACTTAATTTAAAAGTTTTTAGTTAAGATATTACAGTCGTAATAATTATGAACTTGGCGACATATACCATCCATTATATGGTAGAAGATTATAGATTAGAACCATCTGATAATTACAATGGCTTGATACAAGACAGCGTTTTTAAGTTAAAAAGTGCAATTTGACTGAATTTTGGTTTAGTACCAAGTGTGATCTGTGAACCTAATATTAAATTATGGAGGAGCTAGACATCAGGGAATGATGGATGAACTATATCCAAAGTTGGGAGCAAAATTCATATCACGGAGAGCTGCTCAAACCATAACACTGCCAAACATCGATAGGTTGGACCAGATTTATTTGTGATAGCTGCTGGAACTTAGTTGTAAAGGCCGTAACGTGGAGTGAGATCAAACTAGTCAACATAAACATTCATGTTATGACTGAAAAAGTATGCAAATTTTATCGACATATCCATCAATTTTAAGACAATGGACGTCCAATCATCAGACATTATGTGTTAATCTACTCGTCCAACGAACTGGAATTGTGTGCCTCATTATGTGTTTGTATTGTATTTGTTTTTCATATTATTCATGATAATTTGTACATTTATACCAACTTGTCTTCTTTCACCTTAATATTTTTTTTTGTCTATCATTTTTTTTTTCCGGGTTCTCCTTTAGAACCCACCAAATATTCCAGAAAGAGGCTCTTTCATATTCTAATAATCCAGCGTTAAGCGCTGATGTGCATGAATGAGGATGTTGATGTGTGTCTGTGAGTGTGACTGAAAAAGAATAAGATGAATGCTGAATGGCTGATTTGTAACTGAGGGATGGGTTCATAAGTAAAATGATTTCTTATTGAGGGATTGGTTTACAGGTAAAATGATTTGGCATTGAGGGAGTGGTTCAAGGGTAAAAACAAATCATAAAAAAGAAAAGTAAATGATAAACAAAAGGGAACAGCTAGTAAATATCCTACATGTATAGAGTGTACTGGGATTTGAATTATTAAATAACAGGGATTTCATTAGGTGAGTGATTGACCATGTTGAATGGGTAACTGATGACAATGATGCTGTATGAATACATGTTGATGTCAAAAGATATTGTTCAAGGCACTGCATTATGAGAAAAGATTATAATGGACATGTACTGAGGTATGGTAAGAAAGGCACCAGGTAAAAAAAAAAGGTAAATCCCTAATCATTCTTTATTCATCCAAGAGGTAAGTGAAACATAATTACAGTATCTTGAATATTAATGTTTAAGATGACCATATTTCAGTAACCTTTCTCAGGATCTTTGAGTTGGCTTTATGGAAAGTCCTTGATGATACCAAACTTTTTTAAAAGATAATTTAAAGGGACTTTAACTAGTGAGATTAGATAGAGTTGGTAATTCTCACTATAATAGTTTAAAAAAAAAAAAAGATAACGTAAATAGAATATGCTGAAATTTTAGTCAAATTGCTCCACTCTAAAGTCAGTACGATAAAAAAAGTCTCAATTTTTATACACCCGTAAATGTGGACGTATATCATTGCCATTGCCCCCCTCCGTCCGCCCACCCATCATCCACAATTTCTAGTGAACGCTCTAACGGCAAAAGTTATCATCCGGTTGTTTTGAAATTGATATATGTTGTTGACATTAGTGAGATGAAGAATCCTATTTAATTTCAATAATGTCCGTTTATTACGTCTAGAGTTATATCCCTTGTTTCACTTTGTTGTTATCCAATCTTTGTGAAATTCATATGCATTATTTAAATTAGTGAAACGAATAAGCCTATTGAAATTCAGCAATTTCTGTTTATTATGTCTAGAAGTTATGGACCTTGTAAACGCTCTTAAAGCCAAAAGTTATCATCCGATCTTTGTGAAATTTATATGCATTATTTGAATTGGTGAAACGAAGAAGCCTATTGATTTTCAGCAATTTCCCTTAATTATTTCTAGAGTTGTGTCGCTTGTTTCATTTTGTTGCACCTTGTGAACGCTCTAACATCAAAAGTTATCTGCCGATCTATATGAAATTTATATGTGTCATTCAAATTAGTAAAAAGAAGAATCCTATTGAATTTCAGCATTTTCCGTTTATTACTTCTAGAATATGGCCCGTTTCACTTTGTTGCATCTGTATGAAATTCATATGGGTCATTTAAAAATTAGTAAAAAGAAGAATCCTATTGAATTTCAACAATTTCCGTTTATTATGTCTAGAGTTGTGGCCCTTGTTTCACTTTGTTGAACCTTGTGAATGCTATAATGCCAAAAGTTATCATCTTATCTGTATGAAATTTAGATGCATCATTTAGATTAGTGAAACCACAAAGCCTATTGAATTTCATTTGATGAAAGTTGTCATCCGATATGTATGAAATGTATATGCATCATTTAAATTTGTGAAATGGAGGTCTGTTGAATTTCAGCGATTTCCGACAATTATTTCTAGAGTTATGGCCCTTGTTTTACTTGGTGAACCTTGTGAACGCTATAATGCCAAAAGTTATCATCTGATCTGTATGAAATTTAGATGCATCATTTAGATTAGTGAAACCACAAAGCCTATTGAATTTCAGCAATTTACAATAATTACTTCTAGGGTTATGGCCCTTGTTTTACTTTTTTCAACCTTTTTAATGCTTGATTGATGAAAGTTGTCATCCGATATGTATGAAATTTATATGCATCATTTAAATTTGTGAAACGGAGGTCTGTTGAATTTCAGCAATTTTCGACAATTATTTCTAGAGTTATGGCCCTTGTTTTACTTGGTGAACCTGGTGAACGTTCGAATGACAAACGTTATCATCCGATCTGTATGAAATTTATATGCATCATTTAAATTAGTAAATCGGAAAAGCCTGTCAAATTTCAAAATTTTTTGTAAGGCCCTTGTTTCAGTTTGTAGAACATTGTGAACCCTCAAACGACAAAAATTATAATCTGGTCTGTATGAAATTGTCTTGTAAATGCTCCCAATTACCTACAAAAGAATAAATGTGCGTCAACCCTTGTCGACCACGCAAACGATTTAGCTGATGTGGGCATGTTTCGTTGCCTGGCAACTTATCTTTATGTTTAATTAATTATCAAAAAATGTATTCCAATCCACTAAATATCTCAAGCTAGCGATGGCATCGAGAGTTGATTATGATTTGGATAAGTTACGGTACTTAATAATGTCTAATTAATAATTTAGATAACGTTTCAGGCCTAAAGAAAGACCTGCAAAAGGCAGAATTAGCTCTTGCATAATGTATGTTAAACTGAATTTTTCTTTTCAGAATGCATGACCAATGGAAGAACAGGGCTTTCAACACCTGAAGAAATATGCAACAAATACTTTGCTTTGTGACTTAATCTTGTATCAGGGAATTCATGATTAAAGATGTTATTGCTTTATTTTGAAAACTTTATATTATTCCACATGAAGCTCACTGACGTTATTGGCTTCTACAAGGCTAAGGGGAAATAACAAGTGGGTCACAGTTCAATCACAAGGAGTAAAAATAGCTATGATGCTATTTGTCAATGGTTCACCATCTTGTCCAAACTTTTGCATTCAGTGGCATCTAGTTAAGAAATAAGTCCATAGTCCATTGAAATGTGGGGAGGTTGGATGGGTTAGCATGTGCGCGGTGTAGGGTGTATCATAAGGCCTGTCATTGAGTCAACTGGCGTGGTTTCGAATCCCCGGTTGTACGTGACAAGGAGTAGGATCGTCTGTCCAACCTCGTGGGTTTTCTCCGATCCTCCTGTTTCCTCCCAATGCTAAAGACACCAACGCGCAAGCGAATTATTGAAATAAAATTTAACCATGTTAGTCCCAAAATGACCTAGTTTGTGTCGAGTGGGCGTTACAACACATTTCTCTCTTTCTCCATTGAAATGTATGTTTCTGCACAAATTAATTGTGGAGATATTTATAGTTTGCTCTGCAGGCATTTCATAATGTATAAAGCTATTGAAATACAGTTTATTTCCTTAAAGAGCTGATGTACATTGCTAAAATATCTGATAAAATGGAACCAAAAATGAAGCACAGCATGCCTTGGCATAAACCCCACATTTAATCCAAACCCCATGTGGATATATTATGCCATCGCCCCAGTCCGTCTATCCACAATTTGTTTGTGGACACTCAACAGGTCACAATTTTTATCCGATTTTAACGAAACTCCCAAAGATCTTTGTTCCTTTCGATATTTGCATGTATCGGACCATAACTTCATGGATTATGGCCCTTGATTGTACGAAAAATCATGTTTTTTGCTTGTGCACACTCTAGAGGTCACAATTTTCCTCAGATTTTGATGAAACTTGAAATGCTTGTTTATAACCAAAAGATCTTGGTTCCTTTCGATATTCACGCATTTCAGATCGTAACTTCCTGAATTATGACCCTTGATTGTACGAAATATCACGTTTTTGGCTTGTGGTTCCTTCAGAGGTCACAATTTTTTTACTATTAAAAAAAAAACGTTCGAATATATCACCGTTAAACTGAAATATCAGTTGTGTTTGAATTTCGTGAAAATCGGACCAAAACTGCAGGACAAAATGGCCGCCCCTCTAACGCAATTTACTGTAAAAATATGGTACAACAAGGTTGTGTACCCTCTAGAGGTTACCATTGACAACTCAAAAGTACAATTTATTTCCATAATTCAGTTGCAGGTACAGATCGTAGGCAATGAGAGGGAACTGGAGGCCCCAGTGAAACCCATGAGGTTGTGAAGGCAACCCCATTTCTTGTCACATTTTCATTTGAATTGAGTTTTGTCGTACCTCCTGTCTTCCAATTTTTAATCTTGCCCAAATTTGGGGACTTTTCCTGAGAGTCTGGGGACCTTGTGCAGTAAAATATTCTCTGGCAGTGTGAATTCTGTACCCTGAGATGTACCTGGTCATTTTGATCCAACCCATTTTTGGTGTCACATACACCAGGGATACCCGGACACCCATATCTGAATATGCTGGGTTACATGTTCATGTATTTGGATATTAATACCATGACTACCATGTACATTTGACCCAAATGCTCTGGACTGCTGGTCTAAACAATTTAATTAAACAGAATACAAGGATGTAAACTAACATGAAATGAAATGACGTCCTACTCAGCTACTGAAGACAAACACCATGCAGTGTGTGCTTTGAGTCTAAGAGGAATTTTGCTCAGACACAGGCATAATGGTCTATTCTTTATTTCAAATTGCAACTGTCAAGGTTTTTTTTTACGTGTACACATTCTTGTTGTTGGCTCCATCCAAACAACTAAACATTTTCCCTTCTGCACTACTAATATGGGGGGAACAACCCCAGGAAATCATGAACTTTCTCGGCCAAAACAGGACCTCAAGCTGTGTTAGTCAATGTCTTAGTCACTGAGCCACTGCTGCTTCCATGAACCTTACAACCTATTACATTACCTGCACTGTAAGTAAGCTGCTAAAAGGGTAAATAGGTGTGGTGATCTTAATGTCAAAATTTTTTTTTTCGATGTGCAACAACAATTTAAAGAAGACTGAGGCTTAGTGTGCATGTGACACAAACTAGGTTATTTAGGGACTAACATATTGTACAATTTTATTTCCTTGTTGTTGGAGGACTGGAAAATAAACCCACAAGGTTAGGCAGGGGATCCTACTCCTTTTCACGGTCAAGTGTGGGATTGAAATCACACTATTTGGCTCTATTAGACTACTCAACCACCCTTTTAAGAAAGGAAAGTTTTTTTTAAAAAAGATAGGTTGCCAGTCAACAAAACATACGCCCACAGCAACTAAGCCGTCCGGACGGTCAACAAGGGTTGTCAGTAATGAGAAAATTTACAACACATGAAAATCTGATTACGAGTAATAACCTATTGAGTAATTATCAGAAATTATTAGAATTTGTTTCGATTGTTTCATGACTTTAAACAATTTATAATTATTAACTTTAGCCTCTAGAGCGTCTCATGAAATTAAACACTACGTATAAATTTAAAGTCAATCGATTTCGGATATTAACTTTAGCCTAGAGCATTCACAAGCAATTGTGGATGCCGGCCACACTTCAAAGTGGGAATAAAAAGTAAAACATTAGATAATAGTTATACACAGATTACTATTTCTTTATTCATATCTATAAAAGATATAACACAGTAGTTCAAAAATATATATTACAATATATAAGTTCCATTCCCAGTGAGGTATTAATTTCATCAATGAGTACCGGTACATAGATTACAATTTCTTTATACATGTATATAATAGATACAAAAAAAAGTATTTCAAAACTATGTATTATAATATATAAGTTCCATTCCCAGTGAGGTATTAATTTCATCAACAAGTACACATATTAATTTATTATACCAATTAGCACATAGAAACACTGGTACCAATTTGGTATCCCTTTAAATATTATCAGCAGGTGGATTAAGAAGTATGACATGACATTTGATTACTGAATATAGCTGTAATTCATCTTTAGACCCAACCTTAACAAATTCACCAACCCATGTCAACGATTCTGGTATTTTGTCTAATTTTTGTAGTGACCGTTGTCCTGTATATTGTCAACTTTCATTTGGCAACCCAAATATCCACTATGTTAAAAAAGAGTCATTTGGGACTACAGATTACATTGCTACTGACTGTTAATAAGACTGATTGGTCATCACTTTTTTTTAGGTTATGCAAAATGTATAGCACAGAATATCAGTTTGGTTTTCCGAGAAGCTATAAATGCATTATATTACAAAACACATTATACATAGGTTTATAAATATAGCACTTCCTGCCAAACACATGTTGCATAATCTGGTAATCCTTTATTTTTGAGATTGGTTCATCCATTCATTAAGAGATGATTGTTTTGATATACATATAAGTGGCTCTTCTGTTTCCTTCATCCAACTTGCAAACAAATCTTCCATCTTACGTCTGCTTGCAGGATTGCCATTGTTAACAGTAGGAAGAATTCTAGTAGGTTTTAAAAACTGAACAAATCTTTTGAGCTCAAGAAAACTGCTGTGTTCACTATAGGGTATACCTGTTGGAAAAAAAAAAATGATTTTAGTGTTTTGTACAAACAATAGTAAAAACAGTGTCTGATGAATGAAGGGCAGCAAATTGTTTGGATACTTGTCAATAACTGTCAGGTAATGATCCAAGTCACTATCTTGGGTCCCTCATTTTATTGAAAATTTACAACACAAGCCCAGGGGATTATCAAGGAATTTTTGCAAGAGTGGGTTTGCCAGGTTCCTGTTAAGGAAATTTGACAGTTGAAAATGCATGATACCATCATCGTCTTCAAATTACGTAGGCATACATACACACTGAGCTTTTTAAAGAGAGAAATGCAACATCCACGTTTGACTTCAAATTTTATAATGAATTAATAGGATCACATTGTGATTCATTGATGCAAAGCATTAATTGTGATATCAAATATATCTATATCATTATCTAATGCCCATTCCATCCCACCATCTGATGATAAAGGATATAGCGCACAAATGTGACACTTTACTCATAAAAGAGTTGTTTTACCATGGACCATATATACATAGATGGACAGGCAACGAGTCCCTTTGGTTGGATTCTCTGCCGCTTGCGCGAGACATGACAGGATCTCAATGTCAACAGTAAACCAAGTGCAGTGATTCTTGACATTGCAGGATTTTATACAGATTAATTTCTCAAACTCCTGGTATTCTTATAGTTACACGGTAATTTTTCAACCAGATAAGTATTTATATCCGGTAGTGACGAATTTCTCCAGTTCAGAACTTTGAAATTTCCAAATGCAGCAGTTTAAAATTGTGAAATGATCGATTTCAATATTTTCGTAGCTTTTGTAAGCATTTCGGTTTGCTTAATAATCCAAATTTTCATATGTATGAAGGATTTTAAAATTATGAAAATAAAGTTCAGGTATAATAATGTCCGGAATGATGATTAATTGTGCAGAAGTAAAAAAAAAAAAGAGTGTTTTAGTAGGGTTTTTTTTAACGAAAACTCAACATGTTTTTTCAGATTAACATGGGCGTGTCCGAAGTAAACAAAGACAATGTTTTGCTACATTTAAGCCTCAATCATCAGTAGTCTATCTATGTATGGGTTGAAAAAAAAAAAGAGAGTAGCAAGATTATTAAAAATATTATGAATTGATTTGTTTCTTTGCTTGTAAACTTAATACTGGTAATTGCGCGAGGGGGGGTAATTCTATTTTAGTCATGATTGTCAGGTCTGCTTTTTGCCGCAGCACAGAATTCTAAAGCCTTCGTGGGCGTTGCCTGTCCTTCTATACACGGTACATGGTTTTACAATTTGCTTTATGTAGCTGAGCAGAATGCCCACAACCTGAGTAAACTCAATACACAATTTCGGCAGTTCCATTCCTAAACAATTCAGTTGTCAATTCATTAAATTGTATGAATCCAATGTGTACAGCGAATATATTTTTAGTATTTTTTAAATACTTGTTAAATTTAACTTACCGTAATGTGTAATGCCATTACGACTGTACTTAGGTTGAACATGATCAAGTGAAATAACTTTATTATTATGAGTCCAGCCAGTTGGTTCAAATACTAATATACTACTGAACTGTTTGTTTTTCCTTAAATAATCACTTAAACTCTGAAATAAGATTATTTTTTTTGAAAGATATATAAATATTCTCAGACAGTTTTTATAATACACTATCAAGAAATCTTCTGAAATATTTGATCTCAGTCATAATTATTGGAATTATGTGTCAAAAGCTTCTAACAACAGATGAGAAAACTAAACTAGAGTCAATATGTCATGCTAACTAACAGTTTGCTTATTCAGAAACAATAAAGATTATATAATTAACACTCCAATAATCGTCAACAAAATATATTATGAAGACATGAAGACATTTATCAGCATAAACCTTAAAACTCATCCCCCATAAAACATTGAGGAAAAAAAAGGAAGAAATATTTTCATACAAGTATATGAATCAACTTGTTAAACATACATTATGCCTATTGCAAGTCTTTATTTAGGCTTCAGATGTTATAGAAATGATTAATTAGACCTTTATTTACACGACAAGCTCAAAATCAACTCTGTAGACTAGGGATGGGACAATAATCAATTATTTAGAAAATCAATAAAATGCCAGATGTTTTCTAATGCGAAAAGGGCTACAAAAAACTGAATATGGAAGAATTTTTGAAAAAATAATTATTTTTATGGTGGTGCAGTCCCATTTTTCAAAATGGCCGCCAAAATTGATGGAAAAAAATGAAAATTCCTGTATTTTGTGTACGGATAACGGTAAACATAGCCTTCATAGTGGTTAACATGAGATTTTGGGGGTCGCCGGAATCAGATATGGGCAATAAAAATAATTTCAAAAATCCAAAATATGCGGAAATCCAAAATGGCGGCCAAAATATCACAATTTTCCACTATTTTGGGAAATCTAGATAGGATATGGCTTGTATTGTGTCGAACATGGGGTTCTCGGGGTCGCTGAAATGAAATAATGGTCCGAAAATTAATTTCAATAATTCAAGATGGCAGAAATTCAAGATGGCCGAAATCCAAGATGGTGGCCAAAGCGTCATAATTTTCCATTTTTTGCCAAATTCTGTCTTTATTAGCCCATTCGGAGCAGAACAGTAGGGCGTTAAACCACACTTCATTTTATTTCCTTTTTTGGCAAATGCGTAAAGCATTGTCATGGCATTAATTTTGGATAAAATCTAAAATGGCGCCCAAAAAACCTCACTGATGAACAAAATATATCTTGTTTTGGGTTTTTTTTTAAAAAATTATTTTGTTACTACAAAGGCAGCTGGACACAGATTATTAAGGTCAAACCTGATAGCTTCGCAATCACACTACAATGCCTTGCTGTATTAGCTGGTTCAAGTGTCAATGAAATAAAAGGCAATATCGACTTCTGAATGACCAACCAGCTGCCGACTGATCCACGATGTTGATGGATCTCGTCGGTGTTGAGCAAGCAAAATGTCCTGAAATGCTGCGTTTAAATTATCTTACAGCAAAGTTGGTCGTGTAGTCGCGTTGACTCCCTCCCCTCCCGTCCCTCCTGTACCCTGTAAAACTGGTGAAAACTGGTGGCCGTTTCTTTACCAGAAATGGTATTCAAATAATGAGATTGGTCTATCGCTAAATGACACTATGTATTAGTGTTATCAACAAACATGGCCCACATATAAATGACCACTGTTGACATATTACACCGTCATGTTACTGTGTAATCTTAAACATGCAATATGCAAGAGCAATCTGCATATGCAATCTGCTTATGCAATCTGCTTATTACAAGTCTTTCTTTAGGCCTGAAATGTTATCTAAATTATCAATTAGACATTAATTAAAGTATCCAGACCATAATAAACTCTCGATGTCAAGGCTAGCCTTCGATGTTGGCTGGATTAGATTCCTATATGCCGCTAACGGCGTTGATAATTAAATCAGAAAAAGTGGATAATCGAGACTATGCTGTTTATATTAATGTTTTTAGTAATGATGACCGAGACTATGCAAAAATTTCACCCGCTTCTTTCTCGGCTCATAGTTGATCAATTTGGTTGAAATTTTCAGCAAATTACCTTTACACTATCTAGTTTTTAACTATTATAGCGAGAACTGCCATCTCTTTATCTTATCTCCCATAATGTATCTTTAAATAAGGGGCTATATCATTCTGCACACAGAGGCCTATCTACTTTGAGAATAAATCTTTGTCCTGAATGGTCACCATACTGAAAAATTAATGCACTATGTAATGCGGTTCTAATCCGATATATATATATATATATTTCATACACACAAACCAATCATTTTCAATTAAACTCAATATCCAAAAAGGAAGGGGCTTATAAATTCTTCTCAAAATATGCGCAGTATTCCTAGAGTTTTTGATGAAAATCGTTGAGGTAGGAATTAAAATGTCTGCAAACTAGCTTCGTTTATGGTTTCAAGTGGTGCTGATTGTAAATACACGGCATAAATTTCGTAATATTGATCCCGACAAGCGTCCACAAAAAATGACCACTGAATCGTCACGTTACTGTGGGATCTTAAACATGGGGTTACATATTTTGATTCTAATAATTATTTAGGCAACCCCAAACCCCCTTAGACTCCGCACCTCATACCGAAATCCCAAACTTCGCTAAAATAACCAAGTATAATCCGCCCTTTGATCCTTTGGTTCCACAATAATCTGATTTAGACACAGTTATACAATTTTCTCAAATCTAATTTTCTGTTCCGTGTTACTGAATGTCTTCTCTGTACCGTGGTCGATACAAAGTAGTGCATAAGGCGCAGCGTTTCAGGACCTTTGCTGGCTCAACGCTGAGATTCATCAACATCTTGGAACAGTTGGCCGCTTGGTCAGTCATCCAGAATTCGATATTGCTCTTTATTTCATTGACACTTGAACCAGCTAACACAGCAAGGCATTGTAGTTTGAAGGTGTATGCATCTGCCCCGGCTTTACCAGCTTGTGAGTCGTTTTCTGGGTAACCTGTTGTAAACCATCTATTCTCACCAGAGGCATGGGTGATTGTGATACTTTTAGTTTTGACGTTAATAATCTGTGTCAGGATGCCTTTGTAGTAACAAAATATTTATTAGAAACCATATATTTGGTTCACAGTTAACGTTGATTGACCGCCATTTTTGATTTGATCCCAAATTAATGCCATGCCAAGGCTTTACGCATTTGGCAAAAAAGGAAATAAAATGAAGTCTGGTTTAACGTCTTTACTTGGGCTAATGAAGACAGAATTTGGCAAAATATAAAAAATTATGACGTTTTGGCCGCCATCTTGGATTCTACTATCGGCCATCTTTAATTTCCGCCATCTTGAATTATTGAAATTAATTTTCGGGCCATTATTTGATTTCAGCAATCTCGCGAACCCCATGTTCGGCACCATACAAGCCACATCCTATCTATATTTTCCAAAAAAGTGGAAAATCGTGACATTTTGGCTGCCATCTTGGATTTCCGCCATCTTGGATTTTTGAAATTATTTTCATTTTTTCCATCAATTTTGGCCACCATTTTGAAAAATGGGACTGCACCACCATAAAAATTAAATTTTCGGGAAAAATTCTTTCAGATTCTTTTTTTTCAGCCAATTTGGCATTAGGAAATACCCGGCGTTTACAAACTTATATTATTGTCCCATCCCTATGTAGACCCACGGATGGATTGGATACAGTTTGGATTTGAACAGTCGTCCATTTGAAATTAAATGTGATGTAATTACCGGAAACTGGTGACGGAAGGTCTGCTAAGCGAGGCTACCATAGCCATTGAGCATGTTACTTGATAATTGAGAATATGTTGGTAGAGTTATTGTGATTGTCAATCAAACGATCGCTAATTCTCATAGACTGTGCACACACAATTGATGCCTATTTCTAGTCCAAACTTCCAACAGTGTCAGTTCCGTTCAGAACAAAGTAATTTGACTGAAATTTTCATCATTTTCTTTCTTTATCATCTATTTTTCAATTATTATAGTAAGAATGGCCAACTCTTTATAAAACTGTTAACTAATGTATCTTTAAGTTAACAAGGATCCGGTAAATGAGTAGTTTGAGCCTCATGTACTGCCTAAGATTAAATTAGAACTTACATTAAAATTGAGCAGCTTCATTGGTAAAACATGAACCAAGGCTTCTTCTGGATTAAGAGTCACCATTTTATTCAATTCTTCATCTTCTAAACAATCTATTATGCCTTTCTTATCTTTCTTTACACAAACTTTACTGTTGATGGCTTTGGCAATGGCTTAAAATATTTATTTTATTTTTTTAAAAAAAAAAGGTTACCAATTACAATTACCTGTTATGGTCAACAATTAACTATGGAAAATATCGGACAAGCGTACCTATTTTTCATTATTTATTTTTTGGGGTTAATCTGAACTATATTCAGAATATGCTTTACGAAACAAATTAAAGACAGAAACATAATATGGAACACAATTACCATTTTAATTAAAGCAACAATTTGTTTAGGGATCTCTCAAAGTTATCAAGCCAATGATATATTCATAATCATTTGCTTGATAATGTTGAGAGAACCCCCAACAAAACGTTGCTTTAATTAAAACAGTAATTGTGTTCCATATTATGTTTTTGTGTTTATTTCGTGTGTCAGTTGCTAAATGCTGCTTAAAGAAGACGTAACAAATGATTATGAAACATTTTTTGTTGAAGTCAATTAAAGGGAATGGAAGCTTATTGACCCTATTTCGTTAAGCTGACAAGTAATTCTAGTGAACTGACTCTGTTAACAGGTAAAATATTTGAAACAGAAACGCTGGTTCAACAGAAACTGTCTGTTATGCAATTTCTAATCCCCTAAATATTTGGATATAAATCAGTATTTCGGTAATGTTAATTTTTAACTTGATATATTTCTGCATTGAAAAATTCAAACAATTAAATCTTACCTTTAAAAACCCTTTCTTTACCAATAGTATATGTACCACATACAATACAAGTATTGGGGTTGATTTTCATTGTCTTGTTTGCAATCTTAATAGCAAAATCAATGACATCCTGTTGATATGGGAAAGCATAATCTGGATTACAATACCTAAAATAAGTATTACAATGGAAGAGTCAATTTTAAGTTACAACAAGTTACAACAAAAAGCATATTTTGGATAGGGAAATAATGAAGTATATATTTTTCACAAGGATTTAGAAAGTTTGAATTTAATAGCATTCAGACAGCAGCACATTTAGAAAATTGTTTCTCAATTATTAGCAGAGTTATGGCATCCAAGAAAATGAGACACACAGAGGGTAGACAAGAACACTATTTCCTGTGATGATGTGACTTAAATAAGCAAAAAAAAAAAACAAATATGGTAGGCAACTTTAAATGAGTTTTCACCCTTGAACAAAATGACTATAATCCATATGATTGATATATATTATTTGATGATGTACATTGCATCAATTTATATATATCATAACTCACGTTGTGTCCAGATAAAGATCATTTATTTTATTGTTTATCAATTCTGGATAACCTTCCATAGAGGGATGTGCTCTATAATCACCAGTATGTAGAATCAGTCGACCACTTGGAAGACGCATAAATATAATCACAGCTCCTGGACAACTAAATATAATAAAAATATCAAATGCAATATTTTCAATCAAATAAATAAAGAGGATTTATAATATTATATCAAAAACAAATGCTAAAAGCTGACATTGGGACAGTTATAGTGTATGTATTTTCTGAAGTTTTGTTCCTGTAGTAACCTTTAAAATTAGGAGCCATGGTGACTCACTAACTGGGAAATCCAGGGTTCAATCCTGGTGTTATAAAAGAAGGTTTTTCTTGATTTTCCAGGGTTCAATCCTGGTGTTATAAAAGAAGGTTTTTCTTGATTTTCCAGGGTTCAATCCTGGTGTTATAAAAGAAGGTTTTTCTGGATTTTCTAGTCTGGTTTCTCCTTATCAGTTGTGCACGGCAGAGGTCTTGGGAAGGAATAGTGACTAGTCATTCTTAACATCTGGCATCACTGATTGAAAATACTGGTTAATGTTCATTTCAGCTTTCTTGGGTGATTCAGAGTCATAAAGAAATCCTTATTTATACATTATATTTGATAAAGTGTCAATTTACTGGTTTGCCTCTCTTAAGATTAATTCCACACCTTCTACCATACATGGTTCATTCATTGGTAAACGATGAATATACTGTGCTTCTACTTTCAGTTTAGATTCTACTAAATTACCAGTAATCTATTCAAAGAAAATAATATGAGCTATTAAACATATATATATTCTTTTGAGAATCTTTACAAAACACTAGAGTAACAAACAACCCATTCAGTAATAATCAAAAATAATTAAAATTTGATTCTTGTTCTTATGTATATTATATAAAACATGTACTAGGTATCGGAAAGTGAATAGACGTCTTTGTCTCATGAACACTATGTATAAAAAGTCCCCTGCCGAAATCCCGAAATAAAAAGATGACCAATATTAATTATAATTAAAATTGCATATTAATCTTTTTCGAAAGTATCGAGCAAGCAAACTGATTATCAACTATACACTAAGTTTGATCACTCTCTATCAGATAGTATCAAAGTCAAGAAATTGCTTAGCTCTGCTTAACTTTAGCGGGTATTGTAATGTTAATCACTGAACTCAGTAAAGACATTCACCTTATGAACATCTACATCAAGTTTAAACATTCTACTTCAATTAAAAGAAGAGCATTTATGTTCCAAAGTCTTGACCAAACACTTGACAATTCTCATCAAACTTAGTCAAGGTAATAATATAATGAATCTATACTCGGGAGTTTCATAGCTCTCACTTAATTATAACCAAAATTAACATGCCCAAAAGCATCAACCAATCAAAATGCTTATCTCTGTTTACCATAAGCACAATGTTCATCAAATGGTCATCATCGAACTCCATCAAGGCATTCACCTAATGAACTCTACCCGAAGTTTGAACATTCTACCTCAATTATAAGGAGAGTTATTGTGTTTCAAAGTCTTGACCAATCAAATTGCTTATCGCTCTGCTTACCCTCAGCAAAGCATTGATGAAATGAAACTATACACCAAGTTTGATCACACTCAAGTTTGATTAGAACTAAAGTTATTGTGTCCCAAAGCATCAACCAATCAAATTGCTTATCTCTGCTTATCCTAAGCAGAAAATGCTCATCTTCGAATTAAATCAAGGCATCGACCTAACAAACACCTAAACCAAGTTTGAACATTCTAGCTCAATTAGAAGGAGATCTATTGTGTCTCAAAAGTGTGATGGACAGACAGACGAACGAACCCATTTTTATAGTCCCCCGTTTTCTTTGAAAGGCGGGGGACAAATATCATGTCAATCGATAATAACTTTATCCTCTAGAGCAGCTACAAGATTTTTTAAATTGATCAAGGTTAATAGCTCTGACAGTAATTATCTTCGTCTAATGAACAAATACACTGTGTATAAATTTCAAGTCAATCCAATGACTATTTCAGCCTCTAAGAGCACCCAGAAGCAATTGTGGACTAAGAACTTAGGGAAGGGCAGGGGTGACGACATGCAATCTATGACCTCCTAAAAAGTATGATATATTCCATCAGTACAAAAATAACAATGTTTTACACAAGACTGACAATCTGGTATTAACAGTCAATCAAATGTTTGATGGACACAGGTGTTTGCTTCATAAATTACTACTGGCTTTAATTTTATCTTGTTAAATTACTTCTGTATATAATTTTTCCTTATTTTTCAAGCTAAATGTAAAAGCATTAACAATGTAACATTTCAGGAAATTTCTGCAATGGAAACCAGAGAGTTCAGACAGAGAGAGAAATTGGGTTTAACATCCAAAGAGAATCCATAGCAACCTGTCTAAAACTATTATATATGATTAAATTTATAAAATATTACCTGGCTACAATAAATGGTTTCTTTAAACTTTTTCGTTAAACCACAATAATGATCATAATGAAAATGTGTAAGAATGTATGCTTTACATCCAGGTATAACACCATATCGGAATGCATCAACAGTTAAACCGGTTTCTAGAAAAGATTAAAGTACATCACAATTGAAACATTAATTAAAGTATATCAATTCTATCTTGTTTATATATTATTATGGAAAGGCCACAAACTATATTCCCCATATTCTATGCATGATCTGCCATCCTCAGTATTCAAAAGACACACAAGTAATGGATAGAGTACGAAAAAAGTCTATTAAGCCAGAGAATGGACAGCGTTAGCCCCTCACACTGTTTATTATCAGGCTTAATAGACGCTTTGAGTAGTCTATCTTCACTTAAAGTCTTGCACACCTGTTCTGTATTGAACATAGGTAGCCCTTAGTAGGTAACCATGATCAAAATAACCCATTTTCCCTTTGCCCCATGAAGTCAACATGTCTTCGTCTAGTGGAAATGAAATGTTTTTGGAACAGTCAACTTACAGAAAAACTTCTAAGGACCTAGATACTGATCACGTATTAAGTGAAGTGTTAAATATGGAGATGGAACAGCTAAATTAACTTCTTAAAACTGATTTATTTTAGAATATTTCTTAGGAATTGGAATCTGTTGAAAAGTTTGCCACGGAGATAAAAAGTCAAGTATAAATATTCAAGCGAACGACCTATCAATCCATGTAAAATTTTGTTTAGTAATTTTCATGGTATGAATAAAATGTTTATGGATTCACAGATTTCTTTGTTGTTCGTTTGCTCTTCTTGCTAATAAAAAAAATCCATTATTAAAAAAAAGTGTCTATTATTAACAGAAACCGTCCGCAAAAGTATAAAATAATGGATAGTATTTGTCTTAATAGGGGAGAGTTAGTGAGTGGTATTAACAATCACTCATACATTCTACCATATAATGGATTAACTACACAAAGGATGACATCATAGCAAGACTTTAATCCAAGTTAGTTTCTTTTCATCTTCAGATTACAAACACCTAGGACATGTTTCTGTTAGTTTTGTCTTAACTATATGTTTTCCTTAAATCTAAATTAGTTCAAGTTTCCTTCTTGGCGGAAGAACAACACGGTCATCAACTGATGATTCGCAGAAAATAAGCAGATCATACACAAAACATCTGGCATACAAATGCTGTGAAGCAGTATAGCCCTCAATAAATCTGCACAAGCCAATTTAAATTATAAAGCTTATATAGTCAATCAATTTCAAGTTACCTGGTATTTTCTTGTAAAATGGACAATATAGTTTTCTCTTGCCATAACTATTTTCTCTAGTTCCAGTATCTTTATTTGAGGTAGGTATGGATGTATCTTTCTTAATATTAGATTCTTCTTTTTTAGCACTCACTGGTGTTGGGCTTGGTCTCAATGATCCCCATGAATCAGATTTCACCCCTTTACTTGATGAAGGAGTTGAGTTCAACACTGCTGGCTTAGCATTTAGGTGTAGACGTTTCTTGAGCTTAGAAATGGGGTTATCTCCCTTAAACTGGTCATGCTCCTTACTTGTCTTGCAGTTTGATTGGAAGAAGCTAAACAATGAAGTCTGTTTAGTTGACACCTTAGAACTACTGCAGCCAAATTTATCTAATGATGCAGGGTTTAAATTTGAATTAAAACTGAAAGATTTTAAAGATGATGCTTGAGTTTCTCTCACAGATGTCGAAGAATCAATACCTAGGTCGGATGTTAAATCAACACTACCAAAGTTTTTATCATGCAAAAATCCACCAGTATTTGATTCTATTTCCAGTTTTAAATCTATTACAGGTCTTGGTATTGAGGTATTTGTTTTGTCTTTGTCTGAGAAAAAGTTGGGAGTTTCTGGAGTTTCAACATTAAATATATCTTCATCTGATTCCTCTGTAAATACATCTCCTAAATTATCAATATTTTGAAGATCTGATTCGTCCTTTGTTACCAGAGTTTCTAGACCTGTTGCTTCCACACACTTTGTTAATGTGCAGGGAAATGAATTGTCATTTTCATCAGATGACAATACACCAAACTGTCCATTTACAGTATTAGAACTAGCTGAATCAAGAGCGACACTGTCACATTCACTTAAGATATATGAGGTAGCAGAAGTTGATGTTTTTGATTCTAGAGAAAAAGACTGGTTGGGATCAGTTAATGTTGCTCTGTATGTAGCTAAAGTACTATGTTTATATCTTCTATAATGACTGGCAATTGTACTATCACACTGTATACCAAGTTCACATTCTGAAAAATTAAAACAAAATTACCACCCATAAATTGAATAAAAATACAAATTTAATAAGAATTAATATATATCAAATGTGACCTGTGACCGATCACATATTAATTTCAATATATGCAAATTTAAAAATACAAATCAGGGGTATCAACGTATTGTCAAACATTACATCCCTTGACTCCAAAAACAATAAAATCTCTTTTGATCAATAATATTCGAAGGTCAGTCAATGTTACCGTATATTTAACAATGGTGTAATAAAAAAATATTGCAGTCCACTAACGGTACTTAAACATTGCAAGAAATCATTTCTTGTTTTATAGTAATTGAACAAAATTCTCTGTTTAAATCTCAATGAATACCTGTATCTGCTACTAATGGCAAGTCCATACACTCCATGGAATGCCAGTTAGGAGACTGCATTCCCAAAGCAGAAAAAGGCATTTGACAAAAAGGACAATAGCCATCATGTATCTTCGGTACTTTCTTTGGAGTACCCTCATTTATATTTTTCTTAGCTTCATTTGTTTTTCTAACTTTCTTTTTATTTTTTATTGGCAACCCTTTCTTTGTCTTACAAGCAACAGTTATAGTTTCTTCATTTATCAAAGATTTTACAGGGCTTCGTTGGACTTTAGAAGAGGTAACTTTTTTTGATATTTTTGTCTGCGGTTCCTTTATTTTATCTTTAATTTTGTTCGCAGGACTGGTGAAAACAGTAAATTGTTTTGTTGGTAGTTGAAATTCCTCACTTTCACTTTCATCAGATATAGATATGACCATCAATTTGTTTGCTGGACAAAGTTTTGTTTTATTTTGAATCGGTATCAGAGCTGTTTTTGAGCTCTTATTTTTGCTGCACTTTCTTTTATCTGTGTTTCTACTTTTTGTTTTAACTGCCGTGGAGTCCAAAATTTCATCTGTAACCATATTAGATGTTCCACCTGATATACAGATATTGTTTACTGAATCTACAGGTACTTCATTTAATACTTTTACCTCACCAACAATCACAGTCTTTGTATTTTTAAATTTTGTTTTTTCTGTAGTTCTATTGCAGATGGCTCTTGTCTGTTTTAATACAAATTTCCCGTTTGCGCTTGATTTATGAGGGCTTGACTTGATACATTTAGTTTTAGACTCTTTAGTTCTGACTTTTTTCAGTGGCAATTTTGTCGTTGTTGCAGTTGTTCTGAAATCGTTATCATTTTCATCATATTCATAATCACTTTGCTGCTCACTGGCGACAGTTTTATTTGTAACAAATTGAAATTCACATGATTTTCGTTTCATTGTAGGCCTAATGAAATAAACATTATAAACATAACAATAAACGGCGCTTATTAAAGGTTTATCTGTGAAACCATTGACCTTTTAATTATAAGGTCCACGGTGAAACGCGCAATCATTTGGTAGGCTACAGTTTTATGGTGCAATACTTTTACTTTGGTTGATCGCGCCAAACAGGAAGTGAAGAAGTTCAGGTTAATCTAAAACAAGGACAAGAACAAACTGATCAGGAAGATGGGACGTTAGACGGGTAGAATTGATAACCCATTACCATTATTATATAAATACACATTTTTTTCAGACAGATAACCAGCCCCAAATGGCGCCAGGCTTGTTCCTCCCTAGAAATATATAAATGTCTATTTCTATTTGTTCATAATGACGACAGTCAAGAGAGTATAGTCTTAAATTTGGACCAAGACCTAATTAGAAGTACAGGAGGACGTCACTACCCATAAACAAAACCCATAATACAAACCACCATACAGAAATCGCAAGAAATAAACAAATGAAATGAAATGGGGTTTAACGTCCTACTGTTCTGCTCCTAAACTGGGGTAATGAAGACGGGCATACGCCATACAGTGTGCTATGAGGGAAATTTAGCCCGGGCAGCGGCGCTACGGCCTACTCTTATATCGAATTCCAACTGCCAAGGGATCTTTTACGTGCACGCCAATATGTACACGGGACCTCGGTTTTTCGTCCCATCCGAACGACTAGACAGCTGTCCATGTCAGGCCCTGTCCTGCATCACTGACACGGGGAAACCACGCCGCAAAATCTGGATGAACTTTCTCGGCCAATGCAGGGATCGAACACCCGACCTCCAGGCTAGCGAGCCAGCGTCTTACCCACTTAGCCACGTGATTCCCAAAAACAAACGTATCAAATCAAATGAATGAATTCGGGTGCCAGCACCAGCCGTAAATCAATATTTCACTCGTAGGCCTAACACTGCAACATAACCTTCATACCACCAAATAATAAAATAACTTTCTTATTAAATAGGCATTATGTAAAAGCTAAATTTGCCTATTGCAGGTCTTTCTTTGGGCCTTAAATGTTATATAAATTATTAATTAGACATTTATTAACAATACAAGACCATAATCAACTCTCGGTGCCATATACAATGCCATTTAATGATATAATTTAAAAATGGAGAAGCGAGGTTAAGACGGTGGTCACGATCAATGCACACATCTTATCAAAACTACAACCATTTGAATGAAATTTTCAATATATTCATTTTAAATAAAAAAATGACATAGTAGAATTTGTTAGATAATGAAATATCGATTGTCTTTATTCAGTCACAGATATCCTAGATAGCCCAATGACTTCGGGTGTGGGTGGGTGGGTGGTCTAGTGTGTGGGTGTTTTTTTTGTTTTTGTTTTTTTTGTGTTTTTTTTTGGGGGGGGGGGATGCCCGGAAAAAAAAGAGACGGGCGCAAATGCGTTTTCGCGTTCTGTTGTATTTCTGGGACTTTTATCAACGGGTAACCTATGAAATCTAGGACTACTTTGAATGAAATATCGATTGTCTTTATTCAGTCACAGATATCCTAGATAGCCCAATGACTTCGGGTGTGGGTGGGTGGGTGGTCTAGTGTGTGGGTGTTTTTTTTGTTTTGGTTTTTTTTTTTGGGGGGGGGGGATGCCCGGAAAAAAAAGAGACGGGCGCAAATGCGTTTTCGCGTTCTGTTGTATTTCTGGGACTTTTATCAACGGGTAACCTATGAAATCTAGGACTACTTTGAAATTATATAAATTGCATAATATCTTGAATTCGGTGTTAGCCGATAGAATCAAATGATGGCGGCTGGGTATTTGGTATGTTGTCTCTTTTTTATCTTTTTAATGAAAGAAAACTAGAAAACCCACGCTAATCGTCATAATATTGATATATTTCTATTGTACAGAGATAGACGACTTGTCCCCCCCCCCCCCCGCCCCAAACACACACACACACACCCATCACCGCCACACACCCGCACACCCATACTATTTTATACATCAAACCAAATTAAAATATATTGAAATTTATTTTATTTATGTGCGTGTGTGGGTCGCCGCTATATTACACAGAAGAGCGAATCAACAACATAATATTTACATTTTTACATCACATTGTTGTATGATTTTACACCTTAATAATTTATCAGCATGAACGCTGATTCGTCGTAGTGTGAGATTTACCGTCTTTGTATTGATTGTCAGTGCTGACTATCACTAATCCAGGTACATTGTTTTTTACTAAATGGACAATTAAATGGTTCCAACTGAACCGATATTATTGCATAACACCTGATATTCTGATAACTGAAGGAGAACTGATCGTTTAAAAAGAAAACTCATTCTATTGGGCACAGAATTGTCACATATATCAGTGATGTAATATTCTATGATAGTCTAGTTGGATAACGTGAGACAGTGACAATGGCAGATGGAATGATATGGTTGGTCAAGGTGTTATTATGTATAGGAGTTTTACTCATATCATTATCAAAAGCTGATAATTATACTGTGGGTAAGTATACCGAATGATAGTAATGCTTACACAAAACATATGCTGTATTTTAAAAATATGATTGGAATCATTGTAACATAAACTAAACATCCCACGTTTGGTGTTTGAGTTTGTCTCATTGAAGCGGGGGGGGGGGGGGGGGGGTGTCACGGTGGCTAAGTGGGTAAGACGCTGGTTCGCTAGTCTGGAGGTCGGGTGTTCGATCCCTGCTTTGGCCGAGAAAGTTCATCTGGATTTTCCGGCGTGGTTGCCCCTTGTCAGTGATGCAGGACGGGGGGTCAGACAAGGACAGCTGCCTAGTTGTTCGGATGGGACGAAAACCGAGGTCCCCTGTAAACATTGGCGTGCACGTACAAGATCCCTTGACAGTTGGAATTCGATATAAGAGTTGGCCGTAGTTTGGGCAAAATTTCCGTCATAGCACACTGTATGGCGTATGCCCGTTTTCATTAGCCCAGTTCGGAGCAGAACAGCAGAACAGTAGGACGTTAAACCCCATTTCATATCATTTCATTTCATTGAAGCAGGATTTGTGTCTCGCTCCTCTATAAATAAGGTGACGTGGTGGGACGGTCGCGGCAGGGTTAGGGATGGAGAGATTTTGTAACGGAGGTTTGTAGTAACTACCACAGGAAGTGACAAACCAAACGATCATAGGTCGAAGCAATAACGTATAACGAAGGGTCGCAAGTAAACCAGCTGGGATGGATCTTAGCTCCCGAAAATAATTGTTCTCACTTTATCATAGCAGATAAGGACTGTACCTTTTGCGTAGTGAAGGGATTTGCTATCTAGATTTGGTCGAAAATAGGCTGTTCGTCGATATCTTATTGTTGGTAGAAGGCAGGCCCAATTTACTTATCAAGTCGTTGCTGAAGAAAAATGTCCCTTTTCAATGGTTTGATCCGACAGTCTTCGAGCTGTCAAGGTGGAAAATTTTACCGAAGATCTGCTTTTTTGCTTTCTCGGCCCGGTACGGGGAAAAGGACATAAACCGACCAAACTATTAGTACATTTTCTTTATAGACCAGTCAATAGTTTGATAAAACTGTATTTCTCTCATCACGTCTGACTAATTTTGAAAACCATGCCTGTAGCGCCTGACCAAAGTCATTCAAATTTCTACCCAAAGATCACGTCAATTTTAAAATATTACAGATTCTATCGTTCAGTTATAGTGTTTATATAAAATGTACAAACACAAATTTTGACGCAACTTGCTTATCGCTTTGTCTATATTTTAAAAACAACAGTGACACAATTTATGTTATGGATGTTTTTTTTATGTTTCGGTATTAATATCTTGTATGTTTTTAAAACATTGCATCTCGAACCCCGCGTACATGCTTTAAAACTAATGTTTTGGGGGTTGGTGGTGGCGGGGGTCTCCTTGTGCAAAATGAGCGATCTATTCATATATTGAACGGAACAGGATAATAGTACTGACACGATGAACAGGGTTAATGACAATAATACGGTGGCTGATTTAGGACACGCAAAAAAAAAAAAAATAATATCTCGAGCGCTCGAGATACTAAGTCGAGCGCTTGAGATACTAAGTCGAGCGCTCGAGATAGTTAAAGGACAATATTGGTGCCAGCCATTATCACATATGTGTTAGAGCTGGTTAAACACATTCCAAATATATTTTTAACACAGAGATCATTGCTACGATAGCTGAGTAATACAGGTCTCCCGTATCGGAAGTGACGAACGCCAAAGGAAAACACGAATCGCCGCTCTATATAACTGACTGAAGCGACGAGTGATAACAAATACACGGCCGAATTTCTACTCACTAATAATTCCTTCGATGACCAAAAGTTGTTATATGGGACTGTAAGAGGATATCTGACAATTCAATAAAGTAATTGAATGTCATTAGATAAGAGAACACGAGAAAAATAGAAATAGTCCGTACATTCCCTTGTTTATATTCATTCTATACCTTATAAAAACATGGTAATGCACGGACTTTTTCTGTTTTTCTTTCGTGTTCTCTTATCTAGTGGCAGTCAATTCTTTTTAAGAATTGTCAGATATCCTCTCACAGTCTCACACAACAACTATTGGTCTTCAAAGGAATTATTAGTGAGCAGAAATTCGGCCGTGTATCTGTTATCACTCGTCGCTTCAGTCAGTTATATAGAGCGGTGACTCGTGTTTTCCTTTGGCGTTCGTCACTTCCGATACGGGAAACCTGTATTACTCAGCTATCGTAGCAATGATCTATGGGGTAAAAGTATATTTGGAATGTGTTTAACCAGCTCTAACACATATGTGATAATGACTGGCACCAATATTGTCCTTTAAGTCAAGCGCTCGAGGATACTAAGTCGAGCAGATAAACTTGCAGAATAGAAATATTCATTTGATCGTTTTTACAGCCCATCCAAAGCTGCAGTAACGGAGTGGATACCCCCCCCCCCCCACACACACACACACACAAACACACACACTACATCCCATGCTTATCACCACCACTAAATATTCCCGTTATATTTACCCCCTTCCAAGTATATCGCATGTTATTATACGAATCAATAATTGTATATATCGAGGTTACAGAGTTTTGCTAGGAGAGACTGACATTTCATCTTATCTAGAAGCTCAGGTCTAATCCAAGGTTA